ACTGGAGTGCTAATTACTATTAATCTTTGATTACATTCTATATTAGGAGTCTTAAACCACTTAATGATCAAATTAAGGAAGTATTTTTCTGGATTGTTATGATTCTTTGAAAATTATTTCAAGTTTTGTTTTTTAAAGCCTCAGACTGCCATATTGAATCCACTATAAAATGTTAAAATATGTATCATAAAACACTGCCAGTAAATAACTTGTTTTACCATGCACATGTTGTGCCAATTAACTTGGATGTTTTAATTGTACAGATTTAACGTAACTTTCCAACATAAACACTTGCTTTTAATAACATAGAGTTAACTTCCACTCCTCATTAACTTAGCTATTTCTGGACTAACACCAGTATGGGGTTGACCCCAGGACTAATGATCAACAGAGTGTGCTTTTGACTACTTGGCCACCAAATCCTATTTTTTTCCTTAGAAAAAGTGTACTTAAATTATGGGTCATGACATATAGGTAATAGAGAGAGAGAGAAATGGGGTTTAACATCCACTCGACACAAACTAGGTCATCTCGGGACCAACATATGGTTTAATTTTATTTCAATAATTCGCTTGCGCATAGGGGTCTTTAGCAGTGGGAGGAAAATGGAGGACCCGGAGAAAACCCACGAAGTTGGACTGGCGACCCTACTCCTTGTCACGTACAACCGGGGATTTGAAACCACGCCAGTCGACTCAATGACAGACTTTATGATACAGCGCGTGCACGCTAACCATTCAGCCATCCAACCCCCCATATATAGGTAATAGCTACGTATGTAAATACCTGGTCAATTATTTCAATACTGGTAATAAAAAGCTTTCACTTAAAACAGTAATGGTACATGTATCTTATTTACCAATATATCATAATGACATTCACCTGTGTCTATAACAAGCCAGATGACAATTCCTTTAGAAAATAAATGAATAAATCCTTAACTAATAAAGTTGAACTATGTTAAACAAATGATATTTACTTCTGTTAGAATGTAAATATACCACATGACCCACTTCTACAGACTAAGTGATAACACCAGTCTGTCAACTTTCTAGGCTTTACTAAGTTAATTAGGAGGTTACTTCAGACAAAAATGAGGTTGTGGTGCATCCTTGAGCACTCAAACTAATAGAAAACCAAAGAAATACAATAAAAAGACCTAAAAGTTCCAAAGAACTTAATAGATATATATAATCAAGGAAATATTATGTACATGAGTACATTCTGGGATGGATTAATTAAACAAAATATTAGTGTATCAACTGTCAAATTAAATCTTGAACACATCATTAAACAATCAACAGAAATGGAGTAGGTTGGTTAAAGATGCATTGTGTAAGATTTAGATAAAGAGCTGGTCCTTCATACTATAATAGATCAAAAATGAATTCATTGAAAATTTCACTCAAATTACTTTATTCTGAATGAAGTTTTAAGTGTTTAAGTTTTGACAAGATAGTCTTGATTGTCAAGTAGTACCATTGCCACAATAATAAACAAAGTCTCTATCATCCATTTTAACGTTAAATTATTAAATTGTGAGTCTTCTATTCCATTCAACATCTAAGCCATCCGATAGTCTAGTGAGTTAATTATGGGCTTGTCATGTGACTAAATGTCTAAAAAAATAATTTATATAAAATTTGAAGCCACCAAAAAAAAAGACTTGTAATAGGCATATGTAGCACTTACTTAATAAATTTTTAATAAGAACATTTTAGACTTGTAAGTTTTTAATTTTATCTGAAATTGATTTGACTTTAAAATCTCCAAAATATTTCTCTGGAATTTTATAATAGTGGGTAAACATGATTTAATAGTGGGTAAACAATATTTTCGCATCTCAAAGAGTCACAGGCCTTTCTTAATTCTCAAACTCTGCCAATGCTTCTCCCAGGGAGATAATTGTCTACATGAATATTTTATATCTCTGAAGTACACAACACAATTTATATGGAGAGAGAGAGAGAGAACTGGGGTTAACTTCACTTGACACAAACTAGGTAATTTCGGGAGGAAACAGGAGGACCCGGAGAAAACCCACGAGGTTGGACAGGCGACCCTACTACTTGTCACCTACAACCCGAGGAATCGAAACCACACCAGTTGACTCAATGACAGACCTTACGATACAGCGTGCATGTGCTAACCATTCGGCCATCCACCCCCCCCCCCACACACACACAAATTTATATGGAATACAATCACTGGTTTGTTTTATATGGAATTCAATCACTGGTTTGTTCATTTATAGAATGACGTTTCAACAAGTGCTTGAAAACCATGAGATAACACTTGTCAAAATTTCATACTATCTGTGTACAAAACAGTGATTATTTTCCATATAAATAGTGTTTTGTTTCTTTATTGTGCTCAATCAATATATGCCACTCAAGGATTATACATTATATAAGGCTAATTATATCAATGTCACATTCTTGACATATCCTCATCTTTTATTAAGAAGCAAAGTCGGTAAAGAATGTAACAAATGACATATTATCACAATTCAAAAAGTTGGAAAAGTACATAACAAGTGAGATGACGTATTTTGTACTGGTCATACCATACATCTAAACTATATAGTGTACTCTGTTGCTATCAATATTGATACTAGATTACAATTTGTCAATAATCAAATAATGTCCTGACCCTGTTAATACAGAGAGAGAGAGAGAGAGAAATGGGGTTTAACGTCCACTCGACACAAACTAGGTCATTTCGGGACTAACATATGGTTTAATTTTATTTACATAATTCGCTTGCGCGTAGGGGTCTTTAGCAGTGGGAGGAAACCGGAGGACCCGGAGAAAACCCACGAGGTTGGCCCTGTTAATACAACACAGACAATAAATAAACTATTAAAACATTTCAACTAGACCTTACATATAGAGAGAGTCCTTTCCCCAGAAAAAAAGCATACGAATACATGTACATATACACTGTACAGGTCACAATTCTATAGAATAAAATTACTTCTTATTCTGAGTGACATTTTGACTAGGCTTCTCTAGTCATTATCAAGCTCAGTAATAAGCAGTTATTGTATTCCATAAAATTATGACCTGTATATTCCAGTTCAATTACTAAATGCCATTGAAACAATTTATTAGTACATGTTATGATTTTCTGATCGCTTATCATTTAATATTATTGATTTGCCAATATGATTTCATAGTTTTAATAGTAGTTGTTAGAGTTACTGATATTTTAAAACAAAATCTATCTGTATAATGATTTGCTGGCATCCAATATTACAAGCCTTGTCATTAGAGTTTCAGACTGTTTACGTCTACATTTTGTTTGTTTTGTATAAAATCTGGTATCTGATGTGGAATTTGACATTTCTGCAACAGTCAATGTTGACATAAAATCTCAAAATATTTGCTGCAGTAGTATTAAGTCAAAATATTGTTGATGAACATGAAAATATTTGGTGGAGTACCAGCAAATCAAAATATTGATGATTAACATAAAAATACTGTATCTAATTAAAAATCTATTTTCTAATTCCAAATCTCAACTGGCAAAGATTAAGTGGCATTTAGTAACTGAATGGGAAAAACATATTATATGGAATACAAGATACTTTAGAAATTTATTTTTGGTGACGTTTCCACAACGGTTTGCTCGTCAAAGTCTTCATCAAACAAAGCTTGCTTGATAAAGATGATAGAACCCTTGTGGACACATCATGTCACCAGATATAAACTTTTAAAGTAACTTGTATTCCATATAATTGTCTCATGTGTCACTGAATTGTAAACATAACTGACAGTTTAATTTAACATGTGTTAAACAAGACATGATGTATAAATAGGGTATATATTCTACTTATATGTATAGAATTATAATTTAATTTAAATATGGTACACTTAGTATATCTTAACATGAATTCCTGAAAAACTCTTAAATGTAAAATATTTTGGCACCGTGTATTTTATGACTAAGAAAATACATCTACATTATGTATTATTTGATTTTAACACTAAAATATACATAATATTAAATACATGTAGGTCAATCAAACTAAATATATATATTGTAACAGTACGAATAGAAAACCTTAAACTGTATCTGTATACTATTATTACTAGAAGTAATGTCTGTACCTGCTTATCTAATTAGTTGAATGAAAAATAAAATTTTCGTAAAAATATTAAATTGTACTCATAAGAAGCTAACAGCAAGCTGCTAAGATTTCATACTGGGCACTAAAAGTTATTGATTTTCAAATTAATTTTCATAAAAAGATTTTTATACTAATAAAACTTTACCATTAGCAAGCTTCTGAACATTTATGATGGGTACAAGTCAATTCTGGCTTAAATGATGCTTATTTAATGGCTTGAACTAAAGTGAACAATTGATTTTCACATTTTTATACTAATAAAATTTTACCATTAGCAAGCTTCTGAACATTTATGCTGGGTACAAGTCAATTCTGGCTTAAATGATGCTTATTTAATGGCTTGAACTAAAGTGAACAATTGATTTTCACATAAATTCTCATAAAAATTTTTTTGTGCTAATAAGAAGCCAATAGCAAGCTACTGAAATTATTATTATAATATATACTGGGTACAAGTCGATTTTGGGTCAGGAAGTGAGTACTCATACTATAGTGGTAATAACAGACTCAAAAATTTTGTATTAATACAATGAAAACCACAGTTACACTTATTATTTATAGCCTAAGCATAAAATTATTCATGTATTATCATTTTAATTAAATATAGGTTTTGTTTTCTTACTACATAATACTATACAGTAAGAAAATACAGTATTCATACAATTTCTAAAATAATGAACTCAAATAAAAGGAGGTTTTTTTTGTTTTCTTTGCAACAATTACAAACAATTCTGTATAAAACTTGAATAGATAAGAATTATATTGTAAAAATGTATCATAAATCAACTTAATTTTATGCACATTATGTATATATATATATATATCTACATGTATTGTGACAGAATTATATAGAAATCGTGTGACAAAAAAAAGAGTGATATTTATGTCGTTAATGTCTTTAAATTAAATTTTCCTAAACACCATACAACAATTATGATATAGTACAGTCACTGTGTTTTTCTTCTCCTTCTAATTCTTGTTCTGATGATGTTTCGTGATCTGATCGCATTGTCTGTATTACTGGGGATGAGTTTCCTTCCTCTAAATCAAACGTTGGAGAATCACATGTGGATACAGACAGATTAGTGTCATTGACTGATTGTTCGCTAATTTTAGCTAAAACCTGAATTTGAGTACGTATCGAATGGAAGAAAGGTTTGTAACCCACACATTCTGTATCAGCCCACAGTTCTAAATACGACAAGCCTTCTCTCATTCTTCCCACCATGTCAATTTGTGTGTCGGTCAAACTAGCTGTATTTACAGTCCGAGACACACCTAAATTGTCCCTTAACACAATAGCAATCACAAGCGCCCACTCCAAACATCCAGCTTCCAGGAATATTTGTAATAAATAACGTAATTCAATCTCTGATTGCGGTGATCCACGATTGGCCATCTCCTGGGTCATCATCTCAAGGTCATGTGTCTCCTGCTGTTCGGAGCCTAAAGCAACATCCCCAACCATATCATATTCTCCAAGTAAAGAACTACTATCTGATATTTCCATGGTAGCCAGACTACTGTCTTCAGTTTTAGACATCTGGGGACGAAGAATGACATCATCCGAGTTCGAATGTGACATGAACGATTCTGAAGGAGGATTATTAGATGATGTGATAGAGGCCATGGCAAAGCTACTTTCAACAGTTGTAACTTTATCTGAATCGTTCATAGGACTGAGAAGATCATCTTCTAGAAAAGATGAAGATGCTAAACTTGATACTGATATGGCCATGTCTTTTTTCATCTGATTGTAAGTCATATAGGATAATATTGGTAATGGCCATTCAAACTGTTGGTGGATGTCACGCAATGCTGTCACAAAATCTTCTAATTTAGCTGCCCTAACCCTCTCTCGTCTTAACCATGATACTAGTTGGAAACCCTGCATGTTGGCAGAATAATATCCCAAGGTCCGTATTTGGTTTGAGCTGAGCAATTTCCGAGCATGACGACACAATATCATATCAATGTAAACCTTCTCAGCACTGGGCTCCACAGATTTGGATCTTTGTAATGTTTTTTTGCCAGAAGGTACTTGTGAATCTGAGACAGTGTGTTTGAGCTTTTCTTTAGGACGAGGTATATCTCTCATACCAGTGTCTCCGGCGATACTTGCAGTTCGCACACGACCAATATTACTAACATTACTGAAGGTAAATCCACCGCTGTCTGTTGGAGTTATTGGAGGACTAGGATAACTTTTTGCACTGGGGTATCCGGATGAACCTGACATACGATTAAATGCTCCAACATGTGGAGGATTGTCAACATCATTTGGATCTATTGCTTGAAGAAACCGAACTAAATCTCGACAAAGTTCCCAGCTATTTGACTCAAGGGAAGCTTCTAGAAGTTTTGAAGCATACTGTCGGCTGATTTTCGGACTTTCTAGATTCTGTAAAATAAGGAGGTAAGAAGCAGCAGTTTCTAAATTCCCACCGTCTTCTAAACATGCTTCAAATAAATCTCGAGGATTACCTACAGTGGAGAATAAATAAGGCCACAAAGCAACTTCAGTTTTTCTGGCACAATGGACAACTGTTTGCAAGAATTCTGGAAATTCTTGAATAAATGCCACAACTCTTGGTAATAACGGGTCAGGAATTGGGGCTTTTGATGTCGCCTCTGCTTCTAAAACACCATGAAGCAATAATTCCAAGACATGAGGAAAATATGGAAGCTCAGTGCAGCATCTTGCTAAATCTAATGCATGAAATCCTAAATTTCTTCTCAATAATTGTCGTAAGATGTGCTGAAGATATATTTGACTTGTTCGTTCTAATGTACAATATGGCAGATGTCCAATTCTTTCCCCTTCTATGACAGCAGTTGTGGTTAAAGTACTTTCATAGAATACAGAATCTGATGCAGCACCAAGGATGACAGCATCTTCAAATAGTACAGCTAGCGGATAAATGTCGACTTTGAAAGGGAGCATAATTCTCTTAGACATAAAATTATGAGCCTTACTGTCATTTCGTGGGTAGAGTGGTAACCATACTTTCATACCATGAGCGCCACATCCTAGCCATAAAGCTTCCATTAGTTGCATTTTACCGGTATTGGCTTTTGATGTCGCCCAGATATTTTCTACAGATGTCGCTACAACGCTAGGAGAATAAAAGGGGAGGGGTCGATGTTTACGCTCATCATTTTGTGGTGATTGTTGATTTGATCTGTCACGTTGGAACATTAGAAGTTTACCTGAAACATTTAGTAACATACTCTCTGCTTCCTTCGATGGATGATGATGAGTTTTAGCAACAGTTTCTGAAGCTAGAGAAGTCAGTGTCAACCCTGCAACACATAATGGGTGAGGGATAAAATTATTGAGCGACACTTCTTGAGTTTTGTGTACTATAACTGTAGCGTTAGGCTGAGTGTTTTTTCTCTCGATATTAAAGAGCATGACATGACTATCAGCACAGAATATAATTAACATGTCACGGAAAGTATTTAACAATAAAACCTGGGATGGTATTTTAGTAACATGGGCAAAGTTATTGTCAAGTTTACTACTTCGTGGATAAAATCTAATCTCGTCTTGCTGACCTGGAATATTGTAACAGGCTAAACATATAAAATCTTTCCACCAAGTTATACCACCTGACACAACCATGTCCCGTTCCTGAGTCTCATTACCGAACAGTTTCCATTTTCTATGAAATAAGGCATAATGGGCAAATCCGGTTTTACCTGCTACAGCCAAACATTGACCTGCACGGTCAACAGCGGAGTATCTGATGGGCCAATTTGTAGCTAAATAACTGTGTGATATGGGTATAACTTGCCATTGTTTGTTACCAATGTCAACATTTGAAGAGTTATCTCCTCTTGTGTGTGGAGAATTTCGTGAGACAGTGTCCCCAGTGCTCATGTAAAGTTTATCCTCCCCCTGAAGAAAAACATGTTCATGATTACTAACGCACGGATTTACGGATAATGCACTTTTAGCAAATTGAAACTGAATTAATTCGGAGGGTTGAAAAGGGGTGGTTGAGTTTTCTGCTAAACCATTTGTTTGATGATTTTTTGGTGATTGAAATGGGTTACACACCATCCATAGATGATAACCCTCCAGTCCCCATTCTAAAGACCTAACAGGTGATGGATATAAAATAGAACTATCATCTTGAAAGATGTAATCACCGCCTAACGTACAAACTAGTAGCGCACCAAACACACTCCATAATGAAAATCCACCATTTTGCCATGTCAGTGCCAAGGCTGTGCCATCAGGGGTCCATTTCATGCAACTGACAGGGCCTGCAATGTTACTAACATCAGGAAATTCCTTACTAGATATGACAAGTTTATGAGATACTTCTAGTGCACCCACTGCTTCATCAATTGTATAAACAATACCCTCCCCACTCTTACACCCAAATGCAATCAGTCGATAGCGATGATTGACAGCAACGGTGACAGCATCTGTCAAATCCTGGGCTCGTACAGCGTGGGCTGTAGTTCTGTCCGCTCTTGTTGATGGAGGTATTAGAAAGAGAGCTTTACCACTTGATAAAACTAAACTATAACCACCTAAAGTTGGACTATATTCCATAATAACTGCATAACCTTCACTCTCACTTAATTTAGAGGCTCTGAATTGTTGCAAGTCTACAGAAACCGGGATGTCACTTAAATGCAATGTTGCTTTTTCGTTCTTGTTGCCATTCCACTTTAATCTATTTAAATAACCATTTTTTGTACTGACAACTATTTCATCGCGTACGCACAGACAACATGAAATGTCTCCTGTCATACAAATGCTAGTTTCATGAAAAAGCTTAATTGCAGGAACACTGTCGCTGTCCATAATGCCATTAATATTAAAACGCGGATTTTGTGGCGTTTTACCTTCATGTTGGACATATAAACAATGATGATTTGGTACCGATATGTCTATTTCAACACGGAAAAATACCACATGACGTTTAGATGTGATGACAGCTAACATCGACGAATCAGGTTTCCACTCGGCTGCCACGTACGTGCCAACTTGTTCCAAAGTACTGTCCGACTGGTAATGGCTGACTATATGCACACACGGTTTCGAGTACCATAAAGTTATACTATCTTCGGCAACGACGGCAAACAACATACGATCACTGCTGCTAACGATATACTGGATAGGAGATGCAATGTTTTGATCTGGCCTCAGATATTTTGGCCACCCTACCGGAAAATACATCTTGATTATAGAGTTTCTCCAACTACACGATAACAAATAAATTAGTTATTTGATTAGTTCATTACTTCCGCTATCGATAATCAACAATTAGAAAACATCAAAGACAATAGAAGTACTGTTCCAGGGCATTTTTAAAATACATTTACGCCCTCAAAATAAACCAGCTTCCATGTCCACATCTACGAATCCATTTTACGCATGCGCGAGGACATAGAGTCGTCTAAAACAAACAATCGGATCCAACTAGTTGTCAAACTGTTGTCAAAGTTGATTTAATTTTGATACAGTTGCTTAGGCGCTTTGTTGGTGACTCGTAATCCACATAAACATATTGCAGATCGGTAGATTGACCGTTTAATTTGTCAATAAAACTGAATAGCTGCCCCAATGGCAATTATTTTGGCCACTGACTTTGTCGTAGATATCGGCCATCGGGTATGCCATGGCAATGGTTTAGTTTGTGAACACATTATTATTATATAGACTTATATATTGATCGACCCGCCCCGTTCATTCTTATTGAACATTTTGTTGGGTTTTTTTTTTTTATTTTCTTACTTCTTAATTCAATCCTTTAGTAGGCTAAGATTTATAAAGAAATTACTCCTATAAAGTTGATTTAAATTTAGATTTATTTACATGGACAGGTTGCGTATAATGTAGCCTACGTATTATAGCATTTTATTTTCAGAATCCCAATTATGAACAAAAAAATAGGTCTATAAACCCTATACGGCACACATTAAGTCGAATCGATGTTCCTTGTAACTTGTGCCCTTTCAACTCGGAATATTGCATGGAATTGGATGAAGATACCTAGTTTAATTAGAGTGAAGTTCAATGCATATATACATATTTTATTGACTTATCCCCAATCCCCATCTCCATTTTGATTTAGCTACCACCGACTGTCATATCTTCATACCTGCCCCGTCTGATTATCTTATTTTCTAAAAAGAAAAAGTCCACAAATGACTGCCTGGGGAGATAGATTCGGTTCGTTTTTAGATTAACTTGTGGCCTAATTTTATACCATTCCTGGATTAACTGGACATTATTATTGTCGGAAAAGGGAAAGTTTGCCATAGGGCAACGACGTACGCTACAACATCTTTATATTTCGTTTTTTAAATGTATTTCTGATATTTCGGAATTTTTAAATATCGGGTTGTTGCCTTTTCTAATAAATGAATGAATGTTTTTTTTTCTAAATATGCAAAACATAGAATATTCAATATGATAGATAAACTTTACATTGCTATTGTTATATATATATATATATATACATCTGACAACAATTGGAGATTTCACCATGCCTTAAGCTGCTGATCTTCATTTGCATTTTCCGATATCTCATTTTTTTTCGGCTTACCCACGCTAAAATTGTTTATTTAACATTTAGTTAAGAAACGAAGATAGATAATTGATGGATTAAATTGAATTGAAAGAGACCCATCAAAAGATGGTGGCGAAGATTATAGGTGGTATTGGCTTGTTTTGATCATACCCCGTTTATTATAATTTCTGCAGAGGATGACAAACGTTGACAAATTTAGAATTCATATCTTCGTAAATACCAAACGTTCCTGTTAGAGATTTGGTTCTCACGCAAGGAACTGAAAATCCCTTAAATGCCGATCAGGGATTTCAATGAAGTGGATCATCCCCAACCTCTAATCCTGCCTTAAAAAAATTAAGTGCCACTATTTATCATTGGGGGGTTAATTGGGATGGCCTAGTGGTCTAGAGTGTCACGCTTCGACCTCTAGTTGGCCGGTCACCTCTGGCTTGCGGCTGTGGTTTCGATCCCAGGTGTGAGCGTATGTGGCTTGGAGATAGGGGCGCCTTCTCAACCTCGTGGGTTTACTCCGGGTACTCCGGTTTCCTCCCACAGCAAAGACCCCTGCGCGTGCGCTAAGATCATTAAAATGAACTTGTCTGCGATATCACCTTCGGTGGAAGCGGACGTTAAACGCTAAGAACAACAACTATTTATCAGCCTGTGTTTATAGTAATAGAAACCAAACTAAACACAAACTAAATATTTACTAAAAATCTATCAAGAATGTGGGCCAAATGCCAATGGCACTTTTCATGGTCAGGGATGGGAATGGAGGGGTATCCACGCTTGATTCATTTGTAGTTTAATGTGGTTGAATTTATGCTGAATTATTCATTCTATTTTATAACTTGGCAATCATTAACCTATAAAGCCTTCACACCGTGTTGATTTACACACTATAAATAACACCACTAGGTACTAAAACTGGTGATCCGTGCAAATTTTATACTGTTGTACTTCAGCACGGTTCAAACTTAAGCAATTCGAACTACGTGTATAAATATTCCATTTTTTCGACAAAATTATTGCACGTTCAGCTAGTTTTTGAAAGCATGATCATGCTTCCGGAATATGTCATTCGGTGTACAGAGAGAGAGAGAGAAATGGGGTTTAACTTCCACTCGACACAAACTAGGTCATTTCGGGACTAACATATGGTTTAATTTTATTTACATAATTCGCTTGCGCGTAGGGGTCTTTAGCAGTGGGAGGAAACCGGACGACCCGGAGAAAACCCACGAGGTTGGACAGGCGACCCTCATTCGGTGTACAGATTCGAAGTTGTAAAAATTTATAATCGATCAGTTGTTATCAGTTGAAATGTAATGCTGGTGGAGCCGGGCAAAAAGCATAATTTAATGATAATGGACTGTCAGACGTAAAAGAAAATTCATAATTTCACAACAATTGTGTAATCTATTCCAGCAAATGGCCAAACATTCATACGTATAAGCAAAATCAAGCAATATTCGTTAGGAAAATAATGGATGCTAACCGTTGAAAAATAATCTAAAATGAGGACAAAGTCTATACCCTTAAAGACGCTTTTACATTTCAGCAGCGATTCAACAGCTCTGTATCTATGGAGTATGGACCCACCCACCCTCGCCTTAGTGCATATCATCTTCTGCCCTTCCATGTACGCCGATTCCCAGTTTTCCATTTCTAATCTCTAATCATTTTTATAATATTAAAAAATCACATTAAATTGCTGATTTGATTAAATTACGTCTAAACAATGTATACAGTAGAATCTGTCCGAGCAGTCACGCCTACTCAGCAACATCTTGTAAGCGATCACAAGTTGAAATGACTAGAACTCTTATTTGGTCGGAAAATAAAATTGTAGATTTCATTAGATTTTAAAATATGTTGATTTGTTTTGTGGAATAATAATCGCTTAGCGTTAAAAATGTCACGTCTTTAGAAAGATAAAGCTAGTTTTGAGGTATAAGCCGATTTGGTGTTCCATATAGACACAGTGATTCAAACGACGATCCATAAGCTGTTTAAACAAAAGCCATTTAATGCTATGGAGCTTGCTCTTTGAGTGACAGAAACAGTACATCCAATTAGCCCATAAACTATATCATATCTTGCTATGGGATTTGTGATGCCGAAAAACAGACAGTGGGCCTTTTTCTGGCTAAAAATTGTACATGCCAATGTGCAGTCGACACTTTCTTTTTCAGACTACAATTGTCATCCAGGGATTATATTTTGGAAGTATGTGAGTTTTTGTTCAAAGATTCAAATAGGGTAATTCTGCTCCAACTCTATCTGTCCCCCAACCCCCAAGTTTAATTCATTTAGTGCATTCCACTTCTCCACTGGACTACTCGTCCAATGCCTACACAAGACTGTCTCCTAACACTAATGAACCCATTGCTGAGAGGAGTGAAGCAAAAAATGTCATTATGGATGTTGAGAAGATTCGTAAAACTGGGCTCGAACAGGCTTTTTATCAGCCTTCAATATCAATATTTGAAAAATGGGCAAAAACTCCCAGCAATAATTATCGGAATCCATTGAAAATCACGAGTTCCCCGTACATAAACACTATATAAATTTCAAGTCAATCAGATGTTAACTTTAAAGAATTCCCAATTGTTTATTGACCCGAGACTGTGGTATCAATATACAATCACATTTCAATGAGGGCAAGTCGACATACAATGAATATTGCGATATTTTATAGATGTATTTTATTTGCAATATGTGCATTATATTACATAACCATATACAATACTTGTCATCTGTAAGAACATACTACTCTGTATGTACAAATGATTTACTCCCATCACAAAACAAACAAATCATGAATTGATCCCAGTAAAATGATCAAATGATTTTTTGCTACATGTGTATAAATTATTTACAATTGAAATGTTTATGGAAATATCATAAAGAGTGACCTTTTGACCTGTACAATATTTTTTTTTTACATTTGATTCATTGGTGTCTGATTTCAGACTGATCTAAATCTTTTTGAAAGAAGGGTAACAATTTTCATACATGAAATTTATCTTTTAAAATAGATGTTCCCATCTTTATGACCCTGGAAAATTATAGTCTTAAATTGCCTTATAAACCCACAATAAATTAATCAAGGTAATTATACTAAGCTGGACATTATTATTTTAGCACACATGTATACTTCACTAAATAATGCAGGTGCCTGTTTCACCATATTGCAAGAATGATACATAATCGTAAATACATTAAACTTTGTAGACTTGCAAAATTAGTTTCTTAAAGTATCCAAAAAGATGTAATTTTTCTGGTAATTTGGATACATTTTCCAATAAATTTATATATATTTATGATTGCAACTGTTGATGAAATTAAGACAAATGTTGGCTAGGGAATATTGGTTTCAAGCACCATTTTTCATACAATTTGATCATATACTAACATTTTTACATATTAAAATCTTTCATGGAAAGCGAGCAAAATATAAATAATACTTTAGGCAAATAATAAAAATATAAAATTCTTTTGGTTAGAACTCAAAAATAGGGGAAAAAATGGTTAAATCTATGAAAAATAATTCTAGAGTAATTTATTATATTCAACAAAGCTACTACATAAAGAGCTACTTTATAACCAGTTATTTAATTAAATAAAATATTACAGTGTTACTGTTCATGATATAAGTCTCTATATTTTAAGTTAAGTATATAAAATAAATATATAACAGAAGTAGATATAACTATAACAAAATTAATTACAAAATATTTCTCCTTCACAAAATATTGCAATTTGGTTTTTCGTTCTGGTGCAAACTTAAAATTTTAATAGCTTATTTCAGTTTTTTTGATTAACAGTTTAGCAATTTTAGGTGGTTTACAGATTTGGATAGTAACATGCTTATGAAAACCAAGATGTATGTTTATCAAACATTCAGAAAAAAAATTTGGCAAATTCAATTTACACAAAATGAAAGAATTGGTAGTCATATTTTTAACAAATAAATAATCATTAACAATCAAATCCACACCGTAAATTTGTTCAAATTACTGGATGAGATCACTTCAGCAGAATTAGTATTAAACAATACTGGTAAAACTAGTGTCAGTGACAGAGCAAATTTTGATACCATTAGAATTAAAACATGACAGGTGTTAATTATTGATGTGTTTTCCTTGGGCTTAGTTTTATAGATCTGAATTACGTTTAGTTTATCAACATACAGAACTAAATGTTATATTAGCATAAGCTATAATTACAAACCACCTGCCCCACTGCAAGTCAATATAAAAGCAATCTGAAATCAAACTGGAATTTGGGTTAATATTTAACCTAGACTGTGTAAATTTGTCAATGTTTGAAGTCTATAGAATGAATACACATGATGAAATTAAACAATATATACATCTTATGCACTCATTGGTTTAAGTAATTTATCTAGGACTCTAATTCCTTGTTCCTCATATTCCTGTCGTGTCATCCAAAACTCATCTTTGTCTTTCATAATATCAGACAATACGGAACCACCTAAAAATACCATATGTTTTCTTCGAGGGGGATCTTCTATTCTGATTTTAAATTTCTGAAAATATAAACAAATACAGTAATGTACTTCTAATTTCTGGGAAATTAATCTATAAAAAAGATATGAGAACACAGTCAAAACTTTTCGTACACAACTCGATCACTTGGCTACAAACAGTTAATGAATACGATTGAAAAATCTCCATACAGCATGATACTCATAACAAACAGTCCATAAATTTCATACATACAGGGCCCCATGTCAACAAAAGCTAACAAATCATAACCAATTTTGTTGATCATTATAGCCCACCAGGTGTTCAAAATAGTGATTCCACTGCGAGGAGATCCATAAATTAATAAGATAATTCAAGCCTTACCGATAATTTTTCTGCATTGCCTTTTAATATTCTTTCAAGATATAACTGTTTCATCTCTCGTTCTAATCGTGAAGGTAAACCAGGATACATAGATGAACCTCCAGATAATACAATATGTTTATAAAACTCTGGACGTGTATCTATATCTGCAGACTGTATAGTCTGGAACAGTAATTCAGCTACACCTAAACTTTCTATATTTATAAGATGAGGCTGGAATAAAGCTTCTGGGGCTTCAAACCTTTCACCACCAACTTTAATAACTCGACCATCAGGAAGCTGAAGAGATACATCATATATAGTGTAAACGGCATCAATTTACTTACTTCCATTACTAAAGACACAAAAGAAAGTGGAGTCTGTTCAGAACTTCTTAGGGTAAAACGATCAGGAATCTAGTTAGAAAATTTACATCACCACAGACTCGAAAGCTTTCTAAGACTATACTATCAGTACATAATACTGAGACCAAACGTAAGATGGTCTGGAACACAGATTGGCAGAGCAAAGTCGGCAACTGACACTGCCAGCAATGATAAGCTAGGGGAAGATGGGAGTGTGCCAGTCTTTAACATTCCCTTTCTAAATAAATATTTTACTTGAGAGAACTGATATTACATTTAGAACTGCGTGTTTAAAAGATGCATTATGCAAGACCTAAATTAGCCTACTGCTGGTCTTTATTTTAGCGTCAAATGTTATATAAACTATCATATAAACTTTATTAACATGACAAGCCCATAATCAACTCTCTGGGCAATCAGATGGCTCTGATTTTAAGTAGATTAGAATGCGGTGGCCATTTAATAAGGTAAGTTTCAAATAATAAGTACCGTTTTTACAATATCTGCCACATTTTGTAAAATCTTCAAAGTCATAACTTGGCTCAGAATCAAGTAATTTGAATGAAATTTTCAGTATATTCATTTTGCATTATATATTTTAACTATTATAGCAAGATCGGACAACTCTTTATCTAAATCTTACATAATGCATCATTATGTAGTAATAAAGTAATGAAATGGTGTTTAACGTCCTACTGGGTAATAAAGCAAACTGAAAATCACAAATGCAAGAAAAAGACTGGATAACGTGACTAGTTTGTAGGGATGTCAAAACTTACTGTATAAGGTTCTACTAAAACAGTTGTTTCTAAGGCTAATTTTTGTTCTTGTTCTACATCATAAGCTACATAACATAATTTTTCTTTCATCATTCTCACAGTCTCAAAATCAGCTGAATGATTAAAGGCATAACCGCGCAATAACAATAACTGAAAAATAAATAGTATAATTAGGAATACATGTTATTAAAGCAATGTACTGTAACTAGGGTTTAACTTCCCATATAATAATATACATGGGTTTTTCTAAGGATAACATGTGGTTATTTGGGCATTCAATAATTACGTTTTAATCACTGTCTCCATTTTTAAATGTATATACATGTATTAATTTATTTTCATCACATTTAGACAATACAAAGTTAAATTAACACCAAAGGAGAGAGAGAAATGGGGTTTATAGTCCACTCGACACAAAGCAGGTCATTTCGGGACTAACCTATGGTTTAATTTTTATTTCAATAATCCACTTGAGCGTAAGGGTCTTTAGCAGTGGGAGGAAACCGGAGGAAAAGGAGAAAACCCATGAGGTTGGACAGGCGACCTGGAAATCGAAAACCTCGCTAGTTTACTCAATGAAAGACATTATGATACAGTGCGCATACCATTCGGTCATCCACCCCCCCCTAACACCAAAGGAATCCCGATAAGAAAACTGGACGTTATTTGCCTCTTTAAAATTAAAATCCTGATATAGAAATATCTTTCAGAGATACTTGACAAGATCCAAGTAGTTGTCGAGATATCAATGTAAATAAGGTAACGAGATAGTTGAAATACTAAGATTGATGAAATTCATAAAATGGTTTAACCCTTTCACTGCGTATACCCGGTAGTACCGGGTATTATAAAATGTCGGTAAAATGCCCGTACCCGGTATTACCGTGTACTCAGTAAAGCCCTCGCTAAAATTAGTACCGTAACTGCAAGTGCCATCTATTGTATTTTCTATACACTAGAACATATTTCCACGTGTTTCAAAGCAGCAAACCGTAAAATGGCGGAGTGCATTGTGACAACGTAGACGATGCACTCTCGACGAAGTCGTGAATGACGTCTTGCTGACCAACATGTGGACAATTTCGAGGCGGGTGATACACATAATTCGTTTCCAGTTACTTGATAATGATAGTAGTCAGGACAGTGATTGGTATTATGAAGTGTGTGATTTGTTGCGCGACGTTCCGCCCATGGCTAGCTATGTCTCCCGTGCATGATGAACAAGCCCAATGTGAACACGATAGCCCTGTGTCTGCAGTAGATTCTGACAATAATTCTGATGTTGATAATAATGCTGGCCTGCTGGATCGTAAAATACGTAGGTAATTCCTGATTCCCGAACGTGTAGATCTATTGACTGACTATATTGATAATGATATGGGACTTGGGGATGAAAGTGAAAGTGAAAGTAAAAACAAGGTATTGCAATCCGCACGGGGTCATGGCAGCGGGAGACGTGATGCGCGTGTTCGCGGCGGCATTGCTCATGGCTGCTATTGATATTTTTGTTCATTTTATATATCTTTATCAAAATCCAGTAAAAAAAAACAATATCTTTTAAGTATTTCATGGAGAAAAATTCGTTTTCGTGTTAGCTTTAGTGTGAAATGAGAAATCCAAAATGGCCGCCATGACTACATTATTATGCAAATTTCCAAAATTCTATTTTTTCCTCTTAGCCCAACCTCATGCCCATCCCAACAGACAAAAAGATTTTTCATAAAAGCTTCCATAAGTACTGCTTGGCATTCAGTTCCAACCTCCCTTTTTTCCTCAAAAAAGGGTCTAGCACAGGCAGTGGATTTACGTCTAGCATTGAAAGGGTTAAACAACGGACTTGATCAACAAGCACAAAAAATAAAAAGCTTGAATTTTAGAAAATTGATTTTTTAGAATCTGTTCAGACATTTAGAGGAAGTTATTTTAGATTTCATACTGGTATCAATATAACATATCATCACAACAGATTATTTCATCACAAACTTATTACATTTATAAATCAATATTAAATTCATCCTCCAGAATAATTTGACTTTTCGGCTTTTGCTCTCGCAACCTCACTGCACTAACACTACTCCAAGAGCTACTTTTATATACCACCATATTTATCCAGATATATTATAAGGACATCGCCATTACCAACTTTAAACACAAAACCACAATATTGAACACAATTACTATCTGGGAGAATCCCAGTAATTGTTTTCCATATTATGGTTTTGTGTTTATTACGTGTGTCAATTGCTAAATGCCAATCAAAGAAGATCACTAATTTTGTTAATAAATTTTGGATCCTTGAAGAAACTTACCTTGATAAGGTATCTAGTGATATCTCGACCTGCAATATCTAATCTTCGGGTTAAAAAAGGTAAAGAAAAACCTTCATAGACAGGACAGATATGTGTTACACCATCACCAGAATCTACTACAACACCCGTTAATAAACCTGAAAATATATTAATTTTAAAAATAGATATAATATACTATTCAAAAAAAGTAGGGGATATTTGATTTTGGGGGCATAATACTAAAATATGCAAATGACTACGAAAAAAAGTCACTATAGAACCTAACAGAAGAAACATTTCCAGTTACATGTGACGCCCAAACGCACCAATAGCTACCGCATGGAATGCAGGTGATGCTTGGGATCATCATGGGGGTCCAACCCAAGATTTGCACGACTCTGACTTTGAATGTTACAGTCATTGTGGCATTGAATTCCAGGGTGGAAACATCAGTTTAATTGTTTTAGTGACCAGAAAACAAATTTTGATATGTGTCGGCTTACCCAAAATGAAAGGTTACGTGCCCTTGGCATGCTACAGATCGGCACAACACAGGCGGTTGTGGCGCGGATGATGAATGTTTCTCAGTCTGTCATAAGCAGGCTATGGTCCAGATACCGTGATACACAATCTGTACAGGACAGACCACGCTCAGGTCGACCAAGGGCGACAACTCAAGCCCAGGATCGATTTATCCGTACCTTGGCCTTGAGAAATCATGTCATCACAGCAAATCAGATCAGCGCTCGTCTTCAAACAGACACTGGTGTGAGAGTGAGTGGCCAGACGATTCGGAATCGACTGCATAGGGGTCACCTTCGCGCCCGACGTCCTCGCGTGATCCCTTGTTTGAGAGATCATCACATTCAGGCAAGACGTCGTTGGTGTAGGGATCGTCAACACTGGGATAATCGACGCTGGAGCAATGTGATGTTTTCAGATGAGTCGAGGTTCACTGTTGATTTTTTGGACAGACGTAGGAGGGTGTGGCGTCGTCGAAACGAGCGCTTCCAAGACGTTAACGTCATCAGACATGATCGATTTGGGGGTGGTTCTGTTATGGTGTGGGGAGGCATCAATGTTGCTGGAAGAACGGCTTTACATGTTGTTGCAGGGCGTGTTACAGGCCAGTACTACCGGGACAACATCTTGGTAGTCCATGTTGTGCCGTTCGCACGACGTCATGGCCGCCGTTTCATCTTCCAGGATGACAACGCAAGATGTCACAGGGCCAGGATCGTTACAGGTTACCTCCAACAACAGAACATCACCACATTACCTTGGCCAGCACTGAGTCCCGACCTCTCCCCCATCGAGCATATCTGGGACATGCTTGGACAGAGGTTACGTCAACGTCCACAACGTCCTGCCAATGTCCAACAACTTGCTGCTGCGTTGCAACAGGAATGGGACAATCTGGACCAAAATGACCTTAGACGTCTCATTAGGAGTATGCCACGTCGGATCAATGCTTGTTTGGCAAACAGAGGAGGATTTACCCGTTACTGACTTGGTTGTGATGCTGTGGTAACTTTGCTGTTTGACCCCGGGTATCATTTTACCCTTATAATGGTCAGTCTGTGCCTTACTTAGTCCAACGATCATTTGGAATAAATCGATGAATGTGAACTTCATTTCATTTTGTCATTTGTTTCTTCGTCAGTTTCATTAGGTGACTTTAATAACACTTAAAAATCAAATATCCCCTACTTTTTTTGAATAGTATAGTTCAAACTTATTTAAATCTTTTAATGGTGTGCATATTGCAGTAAGGTTATATTTAAAACACAAGGAAGACATCCACACAAAACAATTGAGGTACATGTAAACGTCTATAATGATCAGTATGCATTGACATGTGGAGCTTAACAGAGAAGAATTCCTTCAATTTTAATCGGCATGTTAACAAAAATACAGACCATAGGGTATTTTCCACAAGTTACGTATGTATATTGTCACGGCAAGAATTTCATGCATTGCATGCTTTATTTTCATTTAGATGACCGTTTCACAATTGCAGAAGAAAACTGGGGTATTTTGTTTTTCTCCGATCTCGATCCCATGTACAACATTTCATTTTTTAAGATTCACTTAAGATTTAAAATTTTAGCAATCAAATTAAAAATTGCCAGTGAATCAAAGTGTTCTGTCCATGACAATTTTCTAATTGAAGATATTGGCGGACTACCACTAATAAATAAGCTAGTTGTTTGGATTACAGTTTTCATGAAGATTATATAGGGTGAATTAATTACCTTGTGCATACAATGTTAAAACAGCCTGTATAGCTACATGCACACTGTGGAACTGGTATTTCTCAAACATTGTCTGAAAATAAATAAATTATTCCATCAGAAAACAAGCTTCAGTTACAAGCTAAAATAGATCTAATTTAGTAGTTTCATAGTATTATAATCTGTTCAGACATTTAGAGGAAGTTATTTTAGATTTCATACTGGAATCAATATAACATATCATCATAACAGAAATAGAAATTACACTTTATCTGGGTTGTAAATCTCTAAATTACTGTTGTGAAAGCTTTTTGGGCTTATGTAATTCACATTAAATATTTTAAAATTTATTAAATATTCGAGTGATGTTGAAATGGGACACGGACTGGGCCATTTCTTTTACTGAGATTCGCCAAATATAAGTATACATGTAAGACATGACATTTCAAATTTCAAAGCACTACTTTTATCTCATTTTATTTATAGAAATGTATGATTATCCAGTATTATTCATGATTGTCAATATCATTATCAGGATTCTGATTATGCACTTGATAACTGATCCCACAAAATATGGGAAGTCATAGTATTTGAGAAACAGTATATTTGTTTTATATAACCTTACCAACCAATTTAAAGATACATTAGTTAAGAGTTTAATAAAGAGTTGGTCATTCTTGCTATAACTATAATAATTCAAAAATAGATGATAAAAAAAAGAAAATTGAAAATTTCATTCAAATTACTTCATTCTCAGCCAAGTTATCATTGTTTGTAGTTTTGACAAGATGTGTGCACAGTGGTAACCAGGGTACTGGTATAAATTAAATTTTTAAATGGTGAACCGTTTTAATCTAGTTAAAATCGAAGAGTCGATTATGGTCTTGTTTTGTTAATAAATGTCTAATTAATAGTTTATATAACATTTCAGGCCTAAAGAAAGACCTGCAAGAGGCAGATTTAGCTCTTGCATAATGTATGTTTAATATTGCAATATGCCCAGACAATTTCTGACAAAACATGCAACCACCCAATGTTAATTTCCACAAATCTACATGTAGGTCATCAGGGATATGCATGCAAATTCTATATTTGGCCAAGAACTTTTTCTTCAAAATGTAATAACTTAAAAACCTGCTCTAACATTTAGAGGAAGTGTTTTTTTGATTTTCATTCTTTCATCAATCATTCTAAAACAATTTCATCACTGCAGGATTTAATTTAGAACATTTTAAACTTTTTACATTTTAGACCACTGACAAAAATTTATGATCTTTATTTACTCTTTCAAACATAACTTCTATTGAACTTTACAGCCTGCTCGATTTACTGTTCTGCATGCACAAGTCAATCGTGCAGACATGTGGTCCGCCTTCACAATTCCAGGGAGACATGGTATCTCATTGAGGGAGACATTGGCTCGCTTTTTCTGGGGGTCCAATGTTCGATCCCTGCGTTGGCCCTGAAAGCTCATCAGGATTTTTGGCGTGGGTCTCAATTGTTAGTGATGTAGGACAGAGGGCCTGGCAAGGGACAAGAACCCTTGACAGTTGGTATTCGAAATCAGATGAGGTCGTAGTGTTGTTGTCCGGGCAAAATTTCCCTCATAGTTCATGTATGACGTATATGTCCATTTTCATTAGCCCAGTCTGTGCAGAACAGTAGGACATTAAAACCCATTTTATTTCATTTGGTCCGCCTTCACAGTTCAACTTACCTCTACCATTTTTTCTCTATTTTTCACGGGATTCATGGGTGGTTCTGTAAGCAGTATTCTGGTATTTTTGGGATCAATGTTCATCATGTCTTTACCAAATGTGTGATCGTACAAATGTATCATATCATCCCAGCTGCGAACAATACCATTTTCCATTGGATAGTTTACTTCTAACATAGATCGTAGTTTACTTGCTTCCTCACCAACCATCAAATCCTTTAAAACAATTAAATTATATTATAAATGCATGCAATATCAAAAGCCATGTTAAAATGATATTTTCAAGGTCAATCATTAGTGGACAGGACTTTATACTGATCATACATTGAGTGTTTTGACCATTGAATTTAATAAAACTTTAAATGACGCTTTATATCTGTCAAGAGAACCTATAAAGCCATCGAAAAAAGAAAAGAAAGTGGAGTCTGTTCAGAACTTCTTAGGGTAAAACGATCAGGAATCTAGTTAGAAAATTTACATCACTACAGACTCCATATCTTTTGTTCCAAAATCTTAAATATCAGTATCCTGCATGGGGATAACAATGTCATTAAGCTATGGTACTCCATTAAACATATAGCAGTGATGATTGTATCTTCATAAAATAAGTTGAATTTATTTGCCAGACAGTGTAGAAAACTAGGATGGTAACAAAACCCTATTTCATTTCATAAAATAAATTTACCTCCCTGTTGCGACAGGCATGTCAGATGAATTTTAACGAAATCCACAGATTCACTAAGAGTCTATTATCAAATCTGAGGACATTCTATACATTTTATTATAGGAACACTTAATGCTCACTTTGTGTCTGGTACACAGGTAGACCTTGCATTATAAATTTATCATCCAGTTATTATTAGTTTGTGACATTTACCTTGACTTCAATGTCCATTATTTTGGTTTGTGACCGAATGATGGGTCGCCCCACCAGTGAGGGGAAAAGGAATGTTGGAAAGTTAGAACCTGCATAACCACATTTTACAAACTGAAAAAAGAAAACAGATAAATCATTAGGTTAACATTTATTAATCAATAATATACAAAAATAATTAATGGGCATCACAGAATATGTAAAAGTAATCATAAATGTGATTATTTTATCACCAAAACTAATAATTAGTAAATAATACTAATAGCAATTTGAAGTGTTTGCAGCAAAGGCAAGACTGAGCAAGGGCAATAACTGTCAAGAGTAATTGGTGCAAATTATTGAAATGGATTCATATTTCACTAATCTGAACAATGTACATACTATAATTTCTGATAGTAGAAGAATTTGCTGAACTGTTACTCCTTAGGAAATTAAAACCATCAGATGACAAATGTAGCCCTGCAAGAGTGCAAGCTCATAAGAACTCAAAAGTCTGAGCGCTCGTACGACTGGTGTAAGTCAGACTGAAACCAGTCGCCGTCCAGTTTCTTAGTCGCACCTGTTCTACTCCTACTACTAGAGAAAACTAGTCGTCCCTAGTCGCAAGCGACATGAGCGCACCTACAACTACCTTGAGTCGGCGCATCGCTGACGTAGCCAATAAGATTCGGTTATATTGTCATGTGGTACCCATGGGGCGGGGACAAGTTGTATGAGGCCATTTTGAAGGTTATCACGTGTCAGTCTTGTGATCAGTTGTGGCTCCGATTCTTCAACTGATGCCCGGCGACATGAGCATGCTTACGACTATGATCAACTGGTTGCGTCCAGACGTGGATAAATTCAATCATAGTGACATAAGCTGTCAGTTGCCGTTAGTCGTCGTCGGTTTCATCGCGTCGTAGGGCGACATAAGCTAGGCTTTAGATGATGGGGTGGCTCAAACGGCCATGGGGTGGGGTTAGAGGCAGTATTTATAATAATTTAAGTGTATATATATATAGGCCTATAATAATTTATAAAAAAAAAAGTGGTGCAGCTTGCAAACTTTTCTAGAGTAGAGCTACCCCTCCCCCTGAATGGCCTCAGATTGTATGGGCTTTTAAAATAAAAGACAAATCTTTGAGGAGACTCTCTTGCAAGCCAACATCTGGGGGTATCTGGGCCCACTGGTGACTGGGCACTGGCGCCGCCGTATATGAATACTATGATATGATGAACTTTGTAACTTTGTTGGTAACTTGGTGGATTTCAAATTATTATGACGCACTGCTCACATGCTTGTCTGGTCGTGAGGCAAGGTGCTTTTCAAGACTGGTTCAAACTAAAGAAACAAGCCACACAATTCCTGACTGTATCAACTCATTTTGATAAGTCTAATAGTACTATGCTATGAGGCTAGCTTTTACCGAAGCGGAACAAGTTCGTCTTCCGGGTAGATGAATTATAAAAATTTGCAATAATCACGGTGTGAAAGACCAAAATAATGATTCCTATTAAATTATTACTCACTCCGGTACCGTTGTCACAAACGACAACGTTTCTGCCTTGACTGTCCATTACGGATTAAGAAAGATTTGATAGATACCCCATCCACTAAAAACAAGCCATTAGGAAGAACCGGAAACACCCGCCCCGATGAGTAATGACAGCCTTGAATACATGCAAAACGATTGGTCCATAAATTGGAGTCGACCAATAAAACACGTCATCACAATTTTCCGAGATATTTCCAAGATGGTGTCCACCGGCTTAAGAAGTTGTCTATTTCTTGTTATATTTTTGTTTTCTGTTTGTGCTTTAGTGAGTTGTTCACGTAGCGAGGAAGAATATAAATTAAAAGACATTGAATTTGATCTCAGTCCGGGTAAAGAGCCAGCCAGAATATTTACAGCAGAACAAATTGCTGAATACGATGGTTCCGACGTAAGTTATTTTTGTAGAGTTGTCCCCCTTACACCGTAATCCGTTTAATTATTTAGTAATCGAAAGTAGCCTACTTTTTAATCAAAAATAGTTTTTGAACTTTTTTTATTAGCAGTGAATATTGAAAATTTTGTTTACTGAAGAAAGCAACCAGTTTTAGCCATGGAAATACCGGTGCCATGGCTTAGTTTTCTTGACCATTTGAAATTTGACAAATGAACAAAACAGTGTTTTAATTTTAATCCAAACTACGAGTGAGTACGACCAAAGCCAAGGTCTATTGATGTTGTGGCTCTGGTAATCATGAACAAACATAAAATGAACATATTGACGTCAATATGCATTAGAGACGAAAAGTGACAGCAATATGGCAAAGGCCAAAGAAGCCTTATCCTTGTTTATATTTTTATTTAACAAAAAAGGGAGCTGAAATTGCACTATAGAAAGTAATATTCATTGATGATTAAAACCAAAAATACAGATCTATATTTCGTTTCGTTTTTTTTTATACTTTCGATGGCCTCGAATATCTGACTGGTTTTAGTGTTTGGGGGGGGGGGGGGTCAGAGGTCATACAAGCAGCTTTTGACCGTACGACGTCGAACATTTGATTAATCAATCAGTGTTTATGTTCCTATTGGGATACCCACAGTTCAGTGCAATGCATGCCAAGAACTTGCCACAACAGACCATTTAATTGGCTAATCCTTCACATCAATCATGACGCAGGTTAATATATAACAACTCTTCCAGATGCTAGTGTAGTAAAGACAAGTAAAACTAAATTTTGAGATATAAAAAATGAAACGAAATAGAATCTGTGTTTTAATCAGACTGATTGAAAATAAATTAGTGTTCAGCCATCAAAAATAGACGATTCGAAGAAATATGACTGCAGGCCTACATGTGTGTGAAATCATGTGATCTTTAGAATGGCCATCATTTACTGTTAGATATGATCAAGTTTTAATAATTTTTGAACCAATATGCTTTTAGTAAGACATCTGTTTATTGTACACCTATAATGTTTTATTCTGAAATATTATTTTTCAATCACGGAAGTTCTGAATTTGAATAGATCACATCACTGATCTGGTGAACTTGAAGCATGCACTGATTAGTCATTTCCTTATATTATGTCAATTCAAAAATCCTCCTACATCTACATGTAGATACCACAAATGTAGATACTACAATCTGTCAGCAGTTTTAATTAGCTGTATCGCATGTGCTTCAAACAAGGTATTTAGATGTGGTATAGCAGTTAGAAAAATATGAATAGATGGACAGATTCGGAAATCACTCCAACTTATAAAAGTATTTTTGTCTTGTTTGATATATCGACTGGCCTCTGACCAACTTTAGATCTAGATGTCATCCATTGGAGTTAATATACATCTATTGTAAAAATCTGTCAAGAGTTTAAGGAAAGATTCTAGTTGTTGGAGGTCTAACCCTTGCTGTTTTGCATTAACAAACTTCAAAATTTAATTTCTTACTTAGTAACACATTTTTTTTATTGTAACACACGTCTTGGCACTTTTTCATAAAATTCTATACTATAGGAAAGTTTCTTCTTCTTTGAGCAGCATTTACCAATTGACCCACGTAATAAACACAAAAAGTCATCTGGTTCGAAGACAATTACTATTTTAATTAAACTTTAATTAAAATTATGTTTTTCTGTTTATTATAGAAAAGCTGTTATTAAATTTGTATGTGATTGTTATCTTGGACAAATAAATTGTATAGCAAGGAAAAAAATCAAAATTAAGTTTTTTGATATTTATCATAATCAATGTGTGATTAAGTACGTGACACATGTTACTTCCTCTTACAGATAAAAGTAAATGTAAATGAATAGCCTACAGCAATAAGAAGATCAAAATATTATAAACTGATTTTAATTATATAATACAAGTAGGAAGGAAAATATATAATTAATGGTTAAATCTTTTCATTATGCAACAAAAGGCAAACTTTGCCAACATTCTAAAGAATATTTTACAACAGTAAATGTATGTCCTCATTTTCAATGGTTGTTCATATAATAAACCTATACATTTTACACCAACTTCCAATTTTGCTTGAAAATGTTTAACGAACCCTCAACGAAACGTCGCTTTAATTAAAATAGTAATTGTGTTTCATATTATGTTTTTGAGTTTATTACATAATTATGTTAATTGCTAAACTAAATGACACTCAAAGAAGAACTTCCAATTTCATAAGTAATTTTAATTAATACAAAGTAAGTAGACCTTTGGTTAAACTTTTTATATCTCACTGACATTGGTGGTAGCCTTGATAATTGACATAAATTTATATATGAAACAGATGACACTTGATAATTTACATTGTGTAATGGGTGTATGTAAGCTAAACTATAAGAAAAAATGTTCAACAAAATCCACAGTTCAAGTCCCTAAACAAGGCTCCTAAAACCACCGTACATGCTATTACGGACAGTCTACGGGGAAACTTTGAGTAAACCTGTGCGTAAGACTTATACGTCACTTGCATGTGTTTGGCACCGTAGAAGATCACAGACTGGCCTTAGAGACTATTGGTCCTGTACATTCAAAATTTTCAAACAGTTTCTTGTGGCTGGTCTGCGAGCTACCAAACCCTACAACCCGTGTGTGTCAAATCCCATACGGTGGGTTGTTAGCTAGGCTTTAGACCACCCCAAACCATCCCATCAGGTGCATAGTGGTGGCGCTTCCATGAATTAGTAAATGGTCCTTTAATATGAAAAGCTATTCACATATTTTGGATGGTTTAAGGCAGTGTAAGGAACAGTAAATTTGGTCTGTCCAAGGATGTAACAGTAATAATATATCACTTTTATCTAATTTTCAAGTATGATGTATTAAAGGGATAAGGCAGTATTATAAAACAGTCATTGTTTTTTAAAGCGAGTGATAGCTCTTGAGCGCCTGCTGCTCACATGAATGTCGAAAGCAGGAATAACCCCATTACATGCAGTTATTGATCTTCAGAACCATTTCCCATACACATAACTAATCACTCTCCTTAATATCAGATCATTCTCCTTAATTTCTAAATCACTCTTCTTACCAAAACTGGGAGAGCTTTCTTAGGGGAGCGATTTTGTTGATTGAGAGGATCTTTTTTCGGCTCTCCTCTGAAATACAAACAACAATGACTGCAGTATTATAAAAGGAAAACTGGTGAAATTACTTTTGTTGATTTTGATATTTTGAGTACCAGGTAATCATATTACATTATATTTCAGCCAGATAAACCAATCTATATGGGCATCAAAGGTGTTGTTTTTGATGTTTCAAGTGGAAAAGGTTTGTAAAAAAAAAAATATATTTTTAAGTTGTTCATTACATTTTCTGGATTTATCCATAAAACATAAAAATCAGAAGTAAATGTATCTGGAAGAAATCTTGTATTAGGTGGTTCTGGAAAGTGGACAGGTTGTGTGGCAAAGTGGTCCGAGTGGTTTTATCCAATGACTGTGGTTATGAGACAAGATTTGCCCTATAACCACCTAGGTTGTTTTGTGAGTTCTCTTAAAGAGTTTAAGCCCAAATGAAATAAAGATATATACCATATGCCAGTTGAGTTACCTCTTATCTCCCACCCCAATCCTTATCTTAAGAAAAGTAGTATGCATTGTGTGACCTGTTTCATGGTGTATATATATATGCATTAAGAATTTGTAAAAGAAAAGAATTGTCACTGCCTGGGTTGTGTGTACCATGGGAGCAGAAATCTCAAATGTGTTACTTTTTAAAGTAACCTGCCAATTAAAGCCATAGAGATTAATTTCCTTAGCAATGATTTGCAATAGCAAGGGATTCTTCTCTTTTGTCAATAATACAAAAACAACCAACATTATACTTTCAAACAGATTTGGGCAGTAAATCCTCACACTGTGCAGGGGGGTGGGGGTGGGGCCAAATGTTTAGCATGTGCACGCTGTATCATAAGGTCTGTCATTGAGTCAACAGGCGTGGTTTTGATTCCCCGGTTGTACGTGACAAGGAGTAGGGTCACCTGTCCAACCTCGTAGGTTTTCTCCTGCCCCCCCCCCCCAGTTTCCTCCCACTGCTGAAGACCCCTACGCGCAAGTGAATTATTGAAATAAAATTAAACCATATGTTAGTCCTGAAATGACCTAGTTTGTGTCGAGTGGACGGTTAAACCCCATTTCTCTCTCTCTCTCTCTGCCCACCATGCAAAAGGTACAGTGTGTACCATGCTATGATAAAGTGAGAACTTTATGCAGAATGAAAATAATGAAATGAGGTATTAATAATATGTATGTACAATATACATGTTACTATGTGGGCAAAATTCTCATACAAATATCTAAATTGTATCTTAATTTGTATTTCAGATTTTTATGGTAAAGGAGCATCCTATAATTCACTGGTTGGTATAGATTCGACTAGAGCTGTTGCTAAAATGTCTCTCGATCCAGCTGATTTAACACATGACATTGTAAGTTATATATACAAATCTGTCTCTAACTGGTATTTGTCAGAACATAGAATACCACATCTGACATAATAACAGCCTGGACCCCTTTTAAAATTCTCAAAAAAAGGCACCGTGTAATATACATAGGTGTATCTTGCAGATTCAAGGTAATAGCACATATTCAGTCTATTTGCGATATATAATTACAAAATAATTAACATAAAAAATAATATACTGATGTTTCAATAAAAACAATAATAATAAAAAAATTCAGCCTATTTTACATTTATCAAACTAGCAAGTAATGTAGACAATTTTATTTTTATGTTCAATTTGCCTTGTAATCCACAATTATATGTCAGGGTTTTTTAAACTTCAAACACCAAGCCAAATATCAATACAGGCAGTTTGATTTGTCAGGATGCTCACATGGTCTAAACATTGTTTTCAACAAAAATATGTCAGATGTCAATGTAGGACAATGTCTAAGTTTAAAGGAGCTAAATCGCTAACATTTGGGACCTAGAAATTGACAAAAGTGGGTCGCGACGCATATAATACTGTAATATGAATGTATATAAACTGATTTACATTCAATGGTTTCCGTTTTTACTCCAATTTCAAATCAGTTATGTTCGGCGAAATAAGCCAGCAGTCTAAAGCGAGTGCAAATTTCGAGCGTCTGGTTATTCCAGTCTACATACGCTGTTTGATTTGGTGCAATGTGTTTAGCCTCGTCCCTCGAGTCTCTTGATACAACCAGGGCTGCCGACAACCAGTATCGCAGCGCAATTTGCGATACATATTTTGTCCGTTGCTAATCAAAAATTAAAATCTAAAGTTTTTGATTCGCAGTAACTGCGAATCATTAATATGCCTGTCATTTTGGATATTGACACAAGGATAATCCACAATTGAAGACTAGAAAGCTTTCTCAACAATTTCAACGAGTATAAAATGTTGAATAAAATTTTATAAACAAAACTGAATTCTCCGTGTGACATTTTCTTCTCGAACTACCCAGACACAATTCATTATACGGTACTATATAATACAGGGACATAACTCTATGAATAGGGACTATTAAACCGGAAACAGGGAATCAAGTAGTACCACTCACGTTGCGAGACATCAAGTAATTATATGATATTTTGAAAGAAATAAATCCAGTGTATCCTCTACGTATTGTAAATAAAATATAAAAAAATAAATGTTAACGTATTGTAAAATGATAAATCAAAGTAAAAATTCCCGTAAAATATCACGTGTGTCTAGTCAATCGAGGTGCGCCCGATTGAACAAGAAAAGCAATACACGATAAAAAGCAGACGAAATTGTTTTCTAACGAAGATTTCTAACAATTAAAATGATTGGGGCTTCGGAAGTCACTGTTAAGAATTGGCTTCAGACATAAGACCTAACTAAATGTCTACATCACATTCACAAACTGTCACAAGTACTTGTGGCAGTCCTAAAAAAATCTAAGATTAGTAAGAATGGAATCTAATCATATTTGTTATGAACTAAAGTAATATCTTGTTATTTAGGTGTTTTATGTTGAAACTGAAAAACTGCTAATCAATTTTTAAATTTGCTAATCAAATTTGGCAAAATTGGACTTTTTGATTAGCAGTGCTGCTAATCAACCGTGAAAAATTACCGACAGCCCTGGATACAACTGGGGCTGAAGCGCATTATGGTACACGATTCGTGTACCAATGGTAAAATGTTTATTTTGTCTTAAATATTGGATATCAAAAGCCCATCTTTTTCCGGTAAGATCACAACATGAATGTTGATTTAATTTGACAAATAAATCGTGTTTTCAATGTTGAAGATTTTGGATGATATTGAGTTGGAGACTTAGCTACTTTAAACAGAACTTAATTGACATCTGATTTTAATAAGATTGAGCAATCAAATGTATTTGTGGTTTTGTAAGTGCATGGGCAGTGGGCACCTTTTACAATTCTAAGAAAAAATTGGATCTGGCAGATTATATTACATCAAATTCTGATAAATAGGGTATTAGATGAGTTTCCCTGAAATGAAGTTTAATGTCCTACTGTTCTGCTCCAATTGGGCCAATGAAGATTGAACAACAGAGTTTCCAATGACCTTGGTAATTTTGACAAAGATCATATTCTGTAGGAAAACATTATTTATTGTATTTATCATTAACAATAGTGCTGTACCCAGAAAATTTTCCTTATAATGTTCAATTGATTTTTTAAAAAATTCCAATCTTTTGTCTTTCTATTTCCTTAAGAGTTAGTTAACAGTGTAACCAAGGAAAATATTCACAAATTTTCCAAGTTAAAGTAGAAATCAAATATTTTTCTCATTTGGATATGATTTAATTTTTTTTTTTCAGACTGGCCTATCCCCACAAGAGCTGAAGGCATTAGACTCTGTGTTTGATGGAACATACAAGGCTAAATATCCGGTTGTAGGTTATATGGATTATGTATTAGAACAACACAGGGAAAAATTCAGGAATGTTGTTACTGACGAATTGTAAATATCTTGTTACTCTTGATTAAATGAAGAAGAATAATAAGTTGTTAGTGACGAATTGTAAAGATCTTGTTACTCTTGATTAAATGAAGAAGAATAATAAGAAATTTAATTACCAAGGACCAGAGGTGTCAATTAAAATATGTAATATTTACCTTGTCATCTCCTTATGCTCACTGAAACAAGATCCAGGAATTGTGACCTTATAGCATGTAACATATTTGACATAACTGCCCAGGGCTCTTAAAAATTTTAAGTCAGAACCATAATCCTAGTGGTTATTATGATTCCTCTTTAATATCGGCAAATGCTTCAAAGCTATTAAAATTTTTCTTTGTTGTAAAAAATGCTCAGTTTTAAAGGAGAAGTCTTAGTTTTCACTGGATCTTAGTTTTCACTGGATCTCAAATATAAGAGTACCGGTATGTTAATTTGTGCAAATGTAAAGTACAATTGGAGGGTCTAGAGCACAAGTGATCTAACTACCAACCATTTTAGTTGGTTGTTAGATCACTTGTGCTCTAGACCCTCCAATTGTAGACAAGATGCTTATTTACCTTTTTTGGAACTTTCCAAAAAATGTAATCCTTTTGAGATGATTGCAAAAAATGTTTTAGAGCGGTTAGAAAACTCTTTTGGAGCATTCATCTCCAATGTTTTATTGATTGTTCTGGTCACGGGGGATTTTTTGCACCGAAAAATATCATAGATTTCCCCTTTTAGCCAAATTAAAATATCTAATCTGTTTGAAATTTACAAGGTTATGTCCCTTTACATGTAACCACTGACCTGATGTAAAAAATTTTACCATGATTTCGATTTCTGCAAAAGAATTTTGGGCAAGGCAGTAGCAAAACATTTTTCTCAGCATTTAGAGCCATCTTGGTTCCTATTTGTACACCATTGTAGTTTATGAAGCATGAATGAATGAGGTTTAGTCCCTAACTAGCTAACTAACTTTACTTTCATTTGGTTAAAGTATTACAAACTTCTTATGATTCTTCTCCATCTATTTTATGATCAAATATTTATATCATTGTATTCCATTGCACCATTTTTGTGTCTTTTTGTAATATATATAAAGTTATGCACATTTATATTATATATATATATATATATATCAGAATATATATTTTCTCATTCAGTATTTGAAATAGAAATTCACTTGTAATTGTCTAATTACATTAGTTTTATACTTTAAAATCATTTTGTTAGTCTCAATAAACTTATGCCATTTGGAATAGTCTGCTATCATTATAAAAAAAACTTTAATAATACTAATGACTAAATATGCATATGAGTTTAGACTTTATAGTATACAAGCCCTTTTCTAATAATATGTATTTCTCAAACATATATTTATATTAGCCAATGAATTTAAGAAGTTGCATTTTAAGATGCTTATACGAGAAAATGTGGGAGCTATGCGGACAGTAAATGGCCTTAATATATTACGGTTTTTACACTACGAAAAGAATGATTGTGACAATTTTTATGATAGAATATATTTATATTTATATGTTTTTTTTTATCCTGTGCCATCGGTCCTTCCTTGTGTGAAGGTAATGTTTTCCAGGCATATCTCACAAATGTATACACATCAATCTATTATAGTTGTATATTATTAGAATTCTAGTATTTAATAATTTTTATGTTTTCATATCTGACTTAGTTTCTGGTATACAAGGGCACAGGATGTGGATGACTGAGATTCCTTTTTATTATTCATTCATTAGAGAGATTGAATTACATATAGATATAACTAATTAATTGATGCAGCACTCGTTGTAGTTAATCTATGTAGAGAATAGAGATGTATTTCCTCAACAGTTACAATCTGAAATATATTATTTAAATAAGATAAAAATATTTTTGACAATCTTACCTTTGCCTCCATTATGTAGCATAATTGCAAGTTTATGAAGGGACAAGCAATCAAGTTACCCCAATCAGGCAATCTGTAATGCATACCCTATTTTATTAAAGATACATTATGTAAGATTTAGATAAAGGGCTGACCATTCTTGCTGTAATAGCTCAAAAATAGATAATGTAAAATGAAATATTGAAAATTTCATTCAAAATACTCTATTCTGAGCCAAGTTATCACTGTTTGTAGTTTCGACAAGATGTGTGCATTGTGGTAACCAGCGCACTGGTATATGCAAGACTTAGCCTCGCTTTCACATTTATAAATTAAATTTTTAAATGATGAACCGTTCTAATCTAGTTAAAATCCCGAGTATCCGATGCCATCGAGAATTGATTATGGTCTTGTTTTGTTTATAAATGTCTAATAGTTTATAAAACATTTCAGCCCTAAAGAAAGACCTGCAATAGACAGATTTAGCTCTTGCATAATGTATAGTTAAACATGCATTATGCAAGAGCAAAATCTGCTTATTACAAGTTTTTCTTTAGGCCTGAAATGTTTTCTAAATTATCAATTAGACATTAATTAACTTATCCAGACCATAATAAACTCTCGATGTCAAGGCTAGTCTTTGATGTTGGCTGGATTAGATTCCTATATGCCGCTAACGGCTATTGATAATTAAATCAATAAAAGTGGATAATCGAGACTATGCTGTTTATATTAATGATTTTAGTAATGATGACCGAGACTATGCAAAAATTTCATCCGCTTCTTTCTCGGCTCATAGTGGATCAATTTGACTGAAATTTTCAGCAAATTACCTTTACACTATCTAGTTTTTAACTATTATAGCGAGAACTGCCATCTCTTTATCTTATCTCCCATAATGTATCTTTAATAGAGTATTTTCAAATAAATTTAGATGAATTAATTATGGTCAACTACACATAATGTATTTACAGTATATAGTACACTATTCATATTGAATTTATTTAGAGTACAGTACATATGAGTTAATTAAATCTACTCGCATTAAATATACAGTACATATCAGTTAAAATACACTATTCATATTGAATACAGTTTATATAAGTTCAAAAAGTAAAATGGATTGTAAATCCCAATTTTTCTGCACGGAGAAAAAAATTGTATGTTATAATATGTTGTATAACTTGTCCTATTTTTATGAAATGAGAGTACATATTTTTATATAAAATATCTGTGATAAGAAATGCCTGACCTGAATCTTGAATTAATTTAAAATGTTTTTTGAATAAATTTTATTTTACTTTAAAAACAATTTGCTGTTAAATAATATTTTAAAAAAACTAAAAAATTAAACAGTGTGATTGGATGATAGCATTCATGAATGAAAATTAGATGCCTAAGTTGTAACATAGTTATGTATGTATTCATTGTGAAGGGAGATTGAGAATTATGCCAGGGAGGCAGCATTACTTCCCCTGTGTACCCATCTTTCTCATCCTCAGCCTATGGTTTGTAGATGGAGGATGGGCATTCTGATTAAAAACACAGATCCTATTTTATTTCATTCTTTATAGTTCAAAATTTCATTTTACTTGTCTTTACTACACTAGGATCTGGTTCTGGACGTTTTGGCTGAAGTCAGGGAAAAGCCAATGAAACGATCTGTTACAGCGACTTCTTAGCGTGCTATCCACGGAACTGTGGCAAAATCACTAGAAACACCAATGCTGATTGATTAATCCATGTCTGACATCATAGGGTCAAAAGCCGCTCGTACGACCCTTGAAACAACCTACCAGTACAACTTGTCAGATCTTCATGTAGTGTAGGCCATCGAAAGGATAAAATAACGAAACGAAATATAGATCTGTATTTTAACAAGATTGGGGGGTGGGCGAAAGGGCCTTAACGCTTTTGCTGTATATAAAAGACCTGTTATTTATAGATGTCATGGATTTGATTCCATCTATTTATATAACAACAACTAGGAAATGAAATGGAGTTTAACGTCCTACTGTTCTGCTCCTAACCTGGGCTAATGAAGACGGGCATACGCCGTACAGTGTGCTATGAGGGAAATTTTGCCCGGACAGCGGCACTACGGCCTACTCTTATATCGAATTCCAACTGCCAAAGGATCTTTTACGTGCACGCCAATGTATGTACACGGGACCTCGGTTTTTCGTCCCATCCGAACGACTAGACAGCTTACCTTGTCAGCCCCTCCGTCCCAACAATTAAGAGTCTCCTACTTAACCTCATGCTTATTCTCGTTTCCTACTGATCAAGTAGATTATTGAGATAAAAAAAATATACACCATTATGTTGCTCCTGAAATTACCTAATTAGTGTTGAGTGGATATTAAACCCCCCCTCTCTCTCTCTCTCATAGCCATGGTGGCTAAGTGAGTAAGATTCTGGCTTGCTAGCCTGGAGGTTGCGGGTTCACCCCAAGAAAGTTCATCAGGATTTCCTGGAGTGGTTTCCCCTTGTCAGTGGTGCAGGATGGAGAGCATGACAAGGACAGCTGTCTAGTTGTTCGGATGGGATGGAAAACTGAGGTCCTATATACACATTGGCGTGCATGTAAAAGATCCATTGGCAGTTGGAATTTGATATAAAAGTAGGCCGTAACAGGGCTGTCCGAGCAAAATTTCCCTCATAGCACACTGTATGCCCTGTCCAGTCTAAGCAGAACAGTATTTCATCTCTCTCTCTCTCCCCCTCCCTCTCTCTCAGAACAGTATTTCATCTCTGTGAGCTGCCCTACAAAAATTAAAGAACTTCACCAGTCTATACAACTCTGTAGCTCAAAATATAAATTTTTTGGATTCTGATTGGTCGAAAAGTGGTCGAATGAGTATAACAGTCCTCTAAATTTTCTGATACTAAACTCTGTTTGTAGTGGTCAAAAATTCTATACCTCAAAACTTTATTTTAGGAAATCTTCATAATTTTTTTCTTGTATGTCATCAACAATGAAATAGAACCATTTGATTCTTGGAAAATTTTTCCCAGTACTGTCATTCAAGAAACTGTCACTTTAATCTCTGCTTATTATTTATGTTTAATCAATTTTTTTCATATTGAAGATTTTAAGAAACAGAAATATTAACCATATTTTGAAGCAACCTACTATCCATTTAACCCTGGTAGTGAGAGTTGTCCTTGAAGGCAGCTTTTAACGTATATCAAACAAACAGTATATTGACTAATACCACAATATGAGCAAATACGATTAATAAAGAATGAATAGATTTTCTGTCATCTTTCATAAATTGATCAGTTTCCAATCTGTTTATATATCACAATCTAATGTCACATCAAAGATTGCTGCGATTAACCGACAACACTTTTAGGATTGTTGTTACGGCCAATAAGCTAGAGATCACGACATAATCCGATCTATACAACTTCTTGTTGTGTCTGAGAAGGCGGGTTATTGAAGAATATGGAAACCAAAAGTAGACAAATCCCGTCATTTATCCATCTTGTTAAAAAGATTGATACTGTTTTCTCTCCCTCGGTTCAGACTAATCCTGACTGATGTATTGCTGTTTGATTGGGCCATTATCGATCCGTAGATTATTGGTAGAGAAATGGTGTTTAATGATTTCATTAATCACATATCGATCGTCTAATTTGGGATTAGTAATTATTTTCCGATTAAAAAAACATTAGTCCCATGTTCTAATTCTGGTTGCCCTCTGATATAATTCACTGACACAATTCTGAATGTAACTTTTGTAGTTGGACAAAACTTCGGAATGTTGTTGACCGCATAATATTAATAATATTTCTATTATACCTCCCTAGCCAATCATCTATCGACGTTAACAAACGTACAATAACGTCCAACCTGGCCTTGCTTCATTCTATACCGTTCCAAATACCGTGTGGGGGGTCACGGTGGACGCTGGCTCGCTAGCCTGGAGGTCGAGTGTTCGATCCCTGCATTGGCCGAAAAGTTTCATCCAGATTTTCCGGCGTGATGCAGGAAAAGGGTCTGACAAGGACAGATGTCTAGTCGTTCGGATGGGACGAAAAGCCGAGGTCCCGTGTACACATTGGCCCTTGACAGTTGGAATTCGATATAAGAGTAGGTCGTCTTCATTAACCCAGTTCGGAACAGCACAGTAGGACGTTAAACCCCATTTCATTTCCAAATACTGTGACTTATATTTCTTTCACCCTGCTAGACGGCTAATTCTATTTGTTAAGCCAGCCCAAGTTTTGTCAAGGTCGCTGAGATGTAAATAATGTCAGGGCACGTGATTGTTTGCGAGATTGTAGGTTAGGGTTAGGTTAAGCATTGTGACTAGGGTTAGGGTTGGGATTATCGCTAGCTCCGTTTACATCTCGTGACCTTTGACCAAACTTGAAGTTGGCCTTATCAAATAGACCTAACCCTGTTGAGACCCGTGGTGGCACATAAGTCATGCGCCAGAGGGTCCAATCCCAGTGTCGGAAGAGAAAGATTTCCGAGATTTTCCATCATGGCCTCCCCTTGTCAGAGGTGCAGGACGGAGGTTCTGATAAGGAACAGCCTCTAGACGTTTGTATGGCACGAAAAACCAAGGTCCCTTTGTACATGTTGGCAAAAAGAAACAAGAGTAGACCGTAGCGCGGCTGTCGTGACGAAATGTCCCCCATAGCACAATGTATAGCGTTTTGTTTGCCCGTCTTCATTAACCCTGGTGGTGCAGAAAAGTAGGACGTCAATTAAACCCCATTTCATTCATTCATTCAAGTGTGAACCGTGTCAAAAAAGGGGAGTGGCGGTGTCTCAGTGGGTAAGCCGCTGGCTGGCTAACCAGGAGGTCTTGGTTTCGATCCCGGTGTTGGCCACGAAAACTCCTCAAAGAGTTTCAGAAGTGGTCCCCTCTTGTCAGTGATACAGGACGGAGGTCTCGCAAGAATAATGCCTAGCCGTTCGAAAGGTACTACACTCTGAGGTCCCGTGTACACGTTAGCGATTTTCCATCATATAAGAACGGCGTCGCATAATAATTCGGATTGACACGTGTACACGTTGGCGTGCACGTAAATGAATGAATCCTTGACATTGTGAACGAAACAAGTCGTAGAGCCACTGACGTGCTAAAATGTCCCCCTCATAGCACAATATGCCCGTTTTTATTAGCCCAGTCGATGCAGAGAAGTGGGACGTTAAACAGCATTTCATTCATTCTTTCCATCATGTATTCATTCATTCGTTCCACCCATCATTCTTTTATTCATTGAATTCATCAGAGAATGGAAGCTGGGGTACTTGTATGATAGAGGGGATATCAAATCAAATCCACAACCGATGATTTTAATACAAATGCACAACAATTTATTAGTGAGCCTGTCATCACCAAACGCAAGCCCGGCCATTATACTCATTAAAGTATACATAGGATAAATTAATTCTTGAGAGGCTCAACAGTAATATTTCCGTATTTGGACGAACTATTATCTATTTGGATGCTTGACCTTTTAGCATGTTTTCATCAAGGGCTATTACTAAGCTTAATGTAGGCGTTAATGCTCATTGATAAGTGATGACAGGATTTTAGTAAATATGGAAACACGCGCATATTATAAATATAATATCAATGGTATTGGTAGTAGTAAACACTGGTTTGACGACTTTGTGAAATGAATGACGCAAGGATAAGATTTCCCAATAGATTTTCTTGCAAGAATAATGCAAATAGTCAACTTTGATGTATTGTATTTGGGGAGGTGGACCAGACTCGGGTAAAGATAATGTTCAAAGAATTAAAGGAGCTAAATCCCTAATATTTGGGACCTAGAAATTGATACAAATGGGTCGCAACGCATATAATAATGTAATATGAATGTATATAAACTGATTTTCTTTTAATCGTTCTCGTTTTTACTCGTAATTTCAGATCAGTTATGTTCGGCGAAATACGCCAGAAGTGTCAATCGAATGGCAATCTCTAGCGTCTGGTTATTCCAGTCTACATGCTCTCCAGATAAGAATATGTCCTCACGGTTTGACATGACTTGTGGAATGTCTAGCCACGTTCTTCGAGTCCCTTATAAAAATGGCGCTGAAACGCATTACGATACACGATTCGTGTACCAATGTTAAAATGTTTATTTTGTCTTAAATATTGGATATCAGAAGCCCATCCGTTCACCATACGATAACAACACCAATGTTGATTTAAATTGACAAATAATTCGTGTTTTCAATGTCGAAGACTTTGGATGATATTGAGTTAGAGACTTAGCTACTTTAATATTGAATTAAAACGATTACTAAAATGGGATGGTTCAATTTGTTGTTCATATAAAATACAGACCTATATTTCGTTTCGTTTTTTTATACTTTCGATGGCCTCCACAACAGTGAATATTCACTCATTGAAAGGGGATGACATCGGTGTTAGTTAATTACCTCACAATATTAACTTAAATTCTAAAACATTTTTGAAGTATCAGAAATAACGGTGTTTGAAGCATATCTGGTACAAAATATTTCGTATTTAGTGTAAATGGGTACATAAAATAGTATGCAAATGAGTAAAAGGCACCAT